GTTCTGAATCACTCTGAAACGCCCACAGAAGACGATCCACAAATGATCCACAAATATGTATATTTACATTTGTGTAATGTCCACAAAAATACAGTGACGTGTTCACACAAAACAGTTTTTGCTCATTGTTGATGACTTCCTGACAATTTGTGGGTCACGTTCCATTTGTGACTTCCCTTTTACACATTTGTTGAATTTTGTGTGTCACAGAAACATAAAATGTCTGTGGCACTGTATCATGTACAGACTTACCAAAAGGCATCTGAGCGATGCCCAACGCCGAACAGGAAGTTGTTGTAACTTCAGTGTTCAAATTTAATATGTTTGTGATCTGATGAGCTTTTTATCAGCAGGGCAGGCCTGCAAAATAAAGATGTAAATGTTTTGCAACATTTCAAACAAACATTTATTTCTATAGCGCTTTACAACAACCGGTATCCAAAGTGCTTCACATCATAGAATAATAAAACAGAAAAGTTAAAAAGAAACAAGAAAAACGAAATTGTCACACCACTACAGCGTATTAAAAGCCGTTCTAAACAGGTGGGTTTTAAGTTTAGACCTAAAATAGTTTCATCTGCAATTGTGCAAATATAAGGGGGTAGCTTGTTCCAGAGTCTCGGAGCAGCAACTCCAAACGCCTGATCACCCCATCGCTTATACTTCGACCTTGGGACTTCTAAAACCAATTGGTTTGAAGACCGTAACGACCGTCTGTGCTCACGCAGGGTTAAAATTTCAGTTCAGTACTCCGGGGCCAGGCCATTTAGGGCCTTAAAAACGAATAGCAAAATCTTAAAATTTATTCTATACTGCACTGGGAGCCAATGTAAAATGTAAAGGACGGGAGTAATGTGAGCATGCCTAGATGTATTTGTTAAAAACCGAGCAGCAGCATTTTGCACAAGTTGCACTGTGTCACACTGGAAAAAACTCATTGACAACATTTCTGATTTGCATGTCAAATTTCATGTTGCAATCAAAAGTAACCCCCAAATTTCTGACAGCAGGCTTAAGGTATGGAGCCAGAGCCCCCAAATTCACCGCTGAACCATCTGGGTTAGTGAAGATGATACACTCAGTTTTTGCTTTGTTTAAATTAAGAAAATTTTGTGACAACCACAACTTAATATCATTAATACAATACATAAGTAGGGAGCCTAGTGCGACACTAACATTCGGTTTTAAAGGCAAATAAATCTGCAAATCATCGGAATAACAGTGAAAGGACAGGTTGTGCTTTCCTATAATACTTCCTAACGGCAACATATATAAAGAAAACAAGATTGGGCCAAGAATTGAACCCTGGGGTACCCCACAAGAAGGAGGAGCAGCTGACGAAGAGCATTCACCAATCATAACAGAGAAGATCCTATTTGCTAAATAGGAGCTAAACCATTGAAGAGCCAAACCACGAATGCCTACATCATGCTCAAGGCGAGAGAGAAGAACTGCGTGGTCCACCAAAAGCACTAAAACAGCAGGATTCCCAGCATCCACAGACAAGGCAATGTCATTGTGTACTCTGAGCAGTGCAGACGTGATCTAAAACCGTGATCCAAATATCACAGAATTTTTCTGCATAAAGGCTTGTAGCTGTATAAAGACAACTTTTTCCAAGACCTTTGACAGAAAAGGCAGATGAGAAACTGGTCTAAAATTAAATAACACTGAAGGGTCAAGATTTGGTGTCTTAAGTAGGGGCCTGATCACAGCATGTTTAAATGCAGCTGGCACACAACCTAGACTAAGACAAGAAGTAATTAACGTGAGTAGACTCGACCCAATGGCGCTATTAAAAACTTCCTTCACTATCCTGGCTGGGACAATGTCTAACAGAGCGGAGGTGGGTTTCATGTGTTGCGCTACCTCAGAAAGCAGCGCAACATTTGGTAAATAACGGTCACAACAAAGTCTGGGTAAATTGCAATGGGTTTCAGAACAAGTGATATCTTTGGGACGTGATCAGTAGAGGGCAAATCAATCCATCCCAAAAAGAGCTGAAACCATTGCGAATGTTTGAGAGATTTATTGTAGTCTGTGTTTTACTCAGACTTGGTGTCTGTCTGCCTGTACCTGGGGCCTGAGTTCAACATACCCAGGATATGTTTGTTATCAATAACCCTAACTATCGCAATAAGCGGTACCACGAAGCTGGTTATGAACTCGGTAAACCCAGGGTTTCCCGATCCAGCCGGGAGGGCGTTCACATAAGAGGCGGAGTTAGCAGCAGATGACCAATCACAGACATGAACAAGTCCACTGACAGCAGAACGTCATTTTATGAACGAGGATTAAACTGTAACACTACAGAAATACGACAGTAGCACGTCTGCAGCTGACACACGCAGAGAGAGAAAATCACAGACAGTGTGAATGCCTACATGAACAGGTGTAGTCTAAAATATTTTGTTGATTTAAAGTGTTCTCATGAGCTGTGTGAAAATATCAGCCTTATTCTTTCAGCTCGGCTGTGTTTCCACATTAAAAGACTCGGGTCGTTCTCCCTCACTTTAAAAAAAACAAACAAAAACTTGTGGTCACTTCAAAAATTAGATTAATTTATTTAACACACTCAAGTGTCCGAACATTGTTCTAAATTAACTTCATAAAGCATTGAAATGAAAAATAGTGGTTGAAAGACTGAATCTCAACATTTAGGCTGCTGAAACTCACCGTCCCGCCTTTTGAGCCCACATCGCAAAGCTGGGGCGGAACTTGACTACAGTCTCTGTAGAAAGCTATACTAACCTAGATAAATAGCCTACATTCATATTAAAATTCAGTATCCCTACCAAACTGCTCATAATATTCAGCCTTACATAAGAAAAATAAAACCTATTTATTTTAACGGCTGCGTCAGTCTGTGTGAAACAAACTGGGAGCAAATAAAAAAATATTCAACACATTTCAAAGCAGTAAGTGGGCTGATCCTGCTGTAAAAACCTGTAGGCAACAATAGCCTGAGGCTTTTAATCAGTCTCTGTAGGATTATATCGCTATAGTCAAGAGTTTCTCCACATCACCGCTGCAAACATAAAGCAGCCTGTTGGATAAAACAGTCTGTGGGATTTTCCTACAGATGCTGAGGTCATTTTCCAAGAGAGCTCACTGGTCAGTAGGCGTTTCTCACAGAGTTGATCTCTTATCTGGAACAGAACGGTTAGCCGTTCAGCATAAGTTACCATAGAGATCTACCCCGGTAAGAAGTGAACCACCGTCGTGGTGCTGAAAACTCTGAAGTTACCTAGATAAGCTCAAATCCTGCTTTGTGGTACAGGCCCCAGGTTTCCGTTTCTCCTCGCGTGGTTGATCCTGTGTTTAACCCGTTCGAGTGTGGTACTGCTGGGATATTTGTTGCATTTAAGCCTGCTTTTATATTTTGGTTTCTTTATGGAATTATCTGTTTGGAGTTCACCTCAGCTTTTGGATTTGTGTAGACTCAGACACTCTCAGTAAGTGTGCTTGCTTTGTATTCAATCAATTTTGAGAACTGAACCTGCCTGTTCCTGTATCTGATCCTGAACTTGTTTTTTCAACACAAGATCCAAAATGATGCTTGACAGCCAAGAATGTAGTGATTTGAACAGAAGAAGCTGAGAAATAATCCTCATATTAAAACAAAAACAGATCTTTCTACAGGAAATGAAGAGCGGAAATGGCTTCCCTCAAAGCAGCTCAACAGGAAGTATCTGCACACTAATGCAGGTAGAGACAGACGCCTCTTTCACTACAGGCTGTGCCACAGTTTGCCACACCAGATGACTGTAAGCCTGCATGGCAACAAGCTGGCTGTAACTTCACAGATGGTGTATGGACTGTTCCTAATGATAAACCTGCCCAGACATTTTATCCCACGCTAGGCAAAGTTGAAACATGGGTTAGACCACAAGTCAAGAGGGATGATGATCATTGGTTCACAAAGGGATTCACAACATACACTCAAAAGGTTTGTCAAACATGCTCAATATGCCTGACACACAACAAGGAGAGAAAAAAAACCTTCAATGATGCAGTTTCTGCCTTTTCTGCTTCAATGTATGGCGATCGTCTTTATGAATATAAAGAGCAAGGTTGAAATTCTACCATCTGAGCTCAGCGCGAGAGCGGGTCCACTTGATTACGGTCACGACGTACGCACCAAGTCGACATTATGGATCGGTGGTGGCGTGACAGCGTGCGAGTCACACGCTCAATCCCTGAGAGTTGGTATGGGTTGACGGACAAGGATAGAAGCAGCAAGAAAAGTTAGGATGTTGAAATACCTGACATGAAACCAGGTGATGACTGCACTGATGATTGGGATAATGAAAACCTGCTGCTCACTACTTATTAGAAATTTCTGTGTTCTACTAAAACAGCAACAGCTTTTCTGCCATTACAATAACTTATGTGTTTTGTAATGCTGTATATACTTTAGTGATTAAAGAATTATCAAAAGGGAGGAGTGTAATGTCAAGCAACAACTATGTCCCATTTTAATGTGTTTGTTACTCTATATAATGTTGCACTTGCTATAGTATAAGAATTTACTGCCATTTGCCTCATTTAATCATGAGTTCATAGCTTCTTATTCCAGTGTTGATCATTTGTGTCTCTCTGTTCCGTTAAGTTGGAAGGCATCAGGGAAGATCAGGGGTTTAGGGCCCAAATGCAGACACTGAAGTGGATCTGGTAACAAGTGAAACTGCAGTGAAGGTGGCTGATCAACCAAAACACACCAGCAAACAGAAACCGAAAACAGAAATCCAAAAACATCCAGATGAGAACAAAGGTAAGAAACACGAAGTGAAGGCAGTCTAATATTGACCGAGCAATCAACAGGAGAGACTGGAGGGAAGCCAACAATGACGCAGCGCTGGGTGAAGGGAGCGACACCACTTAAATACAACAGGAGGGGAGAACCTAATGACGCACAGGTGGAACCACTAGACAATCAGTGAGGACACCAACAGCGGCAGGAAAACTAAAAGTGAAACAGGAAACAAGAAACACAGAACCAAACCGAACCAGAACCGTGACATCTCAGATACTGTCCATCAACATCACTGGGCTGGTTCTGCTCTGGTCCTGCTGACTACACTAGTGGACTGGCCATTGGGAGCACCGGGAGATTTCACAGTGGCCTGTCAGCCTGAGCAGAGGCAGCGATAATATAGCAAACAGGAGAATCTGTGTATCCACCGAGTCCACGTCTCTCTTTCTCTGCCAAATATGTGTTTATTTTTGTTTGCTTGCTTTCTGGACACCAGAGAGTGAACACTGGAATCAACAGGTTTATTGTAGGCTATAGGTGAGCTTTTACGACTTTTTACTTACTTTTATTGTTAATGTTTATGATGATTGAAGCTGGAACGTTTGAGCAAACTGTATTTCTCAGTCTCGTTTTTAAAAGTGTTGTCAAATGTTTTTTTTGTGTCTAGCCTTGTATATTTCTATGTGCTATGACTGGTTTACATTATTTCTCGGGAGTTATTGAGGATGCACCCAGAGCCCTAGCATACCTTGAAAACTCAGTGTTCAGACACTTGTTGGTCAGTCCCAGATGTTTGTATTTTCTTCACAGATGAACATTGTGGAAATCTAGACCTAGTTTGGTACCTGTTACAGCAACAGATAGGGTTAGTCCACAAATTAAACAGTCTGGTGGGTTTTATAATTCCCGTGCCGGTGCGCCTTTCAGACCCCTTCAGGTGCTCAGATGTTTCTTGTCTCTCTCATTCCTCTTTTTATATGACAGATACACAAGAGGTTTGTTTACAGACGGTTCGTGTGCTTTAAGATTGCTGGGGGGTGACAGCACTTGTTTCCACTTCCTGTCTGAAGCACCTGTAATTCTGCTATTCAGCCTACTGAACAATAAAAAGAGCTTGTGTAGACGCAATACTTCATCTCACATCCTGCAGACTGTTCTGCACTCTGGATCTCGTCTGATCATTCTGAATCAAACATTAAAAGGACATTCTGATTGGACTTGTCCAGAACTTTTGTTCCCCCTGGTTCTAGCGTACTGCGCTCACCCTTAGTTAAGGCTCTGGTCCTCCTTCCTACCCCCAGACCCTCTTCTTCATTTGTCCCCTCTGTTTAAACTAAACCAGTGTTCTTGCTTTCCAGGAAATTTACCCATAAAAGTTCTACAATGCAAACAGTATCTGAGTTAACACACAGTTTATGAAGGGACACATTCCCAGATAGCAGGTTAGGTTTGATGACTCGGCTGTTCATTTATAATGCTAAAATTGTGAGTTTGGCTGCTGAACTTTTTAAACAATTCCTGAGGAATGGGGAGTGATGACCCCAACCTCTGCAGTGGACTTTAGTATTGGGCATGGAGGCGGCATCAGTAAAGGAAGAGATCTACAAGTAACAACATTTAAGACCTATTAACGCATTCGGCATCCATGGTTTAAATACCTAGGGGAAGTAATTAGAGTTAACAAATCAAGTTGTGCATGTTAGAGGTTAGGGGTGGAGGTACTGTAAGAAGTGTTCTCTGAAGAGATGGGACGTCAGTGAGGCAGACCGCCTGGCCCACAGACTGAGAGAATGGGGTAATAAGAAGATGCATGGGGGGGCCCAGAAGGAGATTCTGAATATTGACTGTGTGGAGTTCAGGAGTTATTATTTTGTTGGTGCTTTTTTTCACCACCAAAAGGGGGAAATTTGTGGAATATCGCCAGCTGAACTTCACAGAATCTGTACACATAAATGTTCACATATAGTTTAAAATCAGTTTAGTATCTGACACAGCAGGTCATTCGAGGACAGAGAACTTTTTTTAAACTAGGTTGTTTGAAAACAGGAGTGCACGGCAGTAAGTGGACCCTCTTTCCAGAATGTTCCACGGCAGGAAATCGGAGAATAACAGGAAAGAGCTCTGAGAGTTGCCAAAAACATTATATCATAAGGGACAATGGGTAAAGCTGTGTTTTTTACCTAACAAAGAGTCTAGTTACTGCACAGTTTGTCTGCCATTTTAAGACGTGGCATGTTCAGGGTTATAAAAAATCAAATGTAGGGAGAGGCAGTTAGTTCCCTCTTCGAGCGAGAGACGGGGGGAGCTCTCCAATCATCCACTGACGGGTGAAAATGCCCTTTAAAGAAGACTAAATTCTTCAATTGATATTCCTCAAAAGAGAAAACCTTTTGAAGAATATTTATATCTTCAGTCATTTTTAATCTGGAAGTGTCCTGTCCTAGTATTCTGTTATTTGATCCCTTTGTAAATATTTCACCTTTTATTATTATTTAAATAAATATCATTTTTAATCAGTCTAATCGATTATTACTTTCTCTGAGGGAAACAAAAATGTCACCACAAGTACTTTTTCATACGAGCCGCAGTCCACCATGAGCAGGCTGCGGTCCTGGACTCATTAAGTAACATTAAGTGAAAGGCTGCAGCTCGTTCAGTCAGCATCTGTCCACGCAGAAGGACAGAAAGATCAGACACATCCCGTCCGTCCTCACAAAGCTCCAGTGTTGCCTTCAGGGTGCGTCTGACAGAACAGAGACGCTGTTAGAGTCAGAACAGGCGTTTCACTTTACTCACACACACATGAAGTCTGAACAGTCTGTCTCCCTCTGCAGGTGCAACACATCATGGCAAACCGTCAGTGCACATTTGAGATTGACAACAAGAGTTCACCTTCTGTAACCCGCAGTGAGTTTGTTTCTCTTTGTGTGTTCTGACATCATGGAAACCTTTTTTAAAAGTTTATATGAGAGTATTGATATCAGCTGCAACACATCCTGGACTGCTGTCTGTACTGGATGATGTGAAATGAAACTGATGCGTTTCTGATATGTAGAAAACAGTTGACTCTCTCACAGTGTCAAAGTCTTGACGTCTCTTCTCTCTGTCTCCTCAGGGTGTTCACTTACAGTGGATCCTATGAGAAGCCGTTGTCACCAACTCTCGGCCCCTCTGAATCTGGCAGCGCTCTGTTCATCAAGACTTCGAACACAGCGTGTGGGGCTGTTGGAGTCCTCACCTATGATCTGCAGAACAAATCCACAGAGAAATGTGATGGAAAAATAGCCGTCATGTACTCCGTTCCTTATGACTACAACTTCTACTCTAACATGTACGCAGTGGGAGTCTTTGACGTGGATACAAAGTGTGATTATGACCTTTAGAAACAGATGTATTATGGGGCGGGGTCAATGTTTGTCAGAGGTAAAGCTAAAGACAGTCTGACTTACAAAGGCAAAGATGTGACCATCGGAGCCACCATGTCAGACAGTAAGACATCTGTCATCAAGGTGCACGTGTCCAACTGAAATATGAAGCTTCCTTAAACCCTTCAGACCTTCTTCCATGAACCAGTAATCTCCACTAATGGAACAGTTTTCTGTCACGTTAAGGTTTGACTTGTGCTAAAGTTACATTAGAATTTCAGATAACAGTATCCTATATAGCGTACCACTAGTGTAATATTAATTCCAGTTCCAGCAGTTTCGTTACGGTTCGTTGTTCTCGTTCATTAAATCCTCGTGCGAGAAAAAAAGCTAACTTGTCACTAATCAGAACCGTTCGTGCAGAACGAGTTCAACATTTGGAAAGTTTGCCGTAGCACCACGTCAACCTTTTTTCATGTCCCGCCTCTCTGCTCCTGCTTCCAGTGTTTATGCTGAGCTACACTGTAAAGATGAAACTGTACTTGATTTGATTGTTATTGATCATAAATGATGTTTCTCTAGCACTGCAGCTCATCTATGCAGCTTCTTTCTGAAATAAAGTCGGGCCTTAAAGCAGTCCTTCTGTCCTGGTCTCTGTCTCCAGTCACACTAGGCTGCAGCTTTACTTTAGCTTGTTGTCCTTGTTTTACTGTGTCTACTCCAAGTACACAGAGAGCTGTAGTACTGTGGTCACAGTCCTTGTATATTAAAGCTGATTCAGATTCCTGTAGGCTACACGCCTCTCCTAAGTGACCCACCGCCCCCCTAACAGATCCTCAATGTTGAGAGTCTGTTGGTCAGGGCCGGCCCTGACATTGCTGGAGCCCTAGGCGAGATTTTTACCCCCATGCCCAATCCTAAAAAGTCCACTGCAGCACTTAAATGCTCTGTATTTGTAGAGCGCCTTTCTAATCTTTTCGACCACTCAAAGCGCTTTTACACTAAACCTGCATTCACCAGTCATTCACTGAGCCTAAGTGCTCAAACAGAAACTACATTCACACACATTCATACACTGGCGGAACAGCCGCCAGGGGCAATTCGGGGTTCAGTATCTTGCCCAAGGACACTTCGACACGCAACCAGGGGGAGCCAGGGATTGAACCGCCGACCTTCCGACTAACGGCCAACCCCTGAGCCACACAGGTCATCAATCCTCTACTCACAATTGTTTTAAATGTTCAGCAGCCAAACTCACAATTTTAGCATGTATAGATGAACAGCCAAGTCAGTAATCATGGTCAATAAGGAATAAGTGTGGTCAGTATACTTGTCAACCTCATCATAGCCTAAATTTGGAGGCCACACCTCTATGCGTCCTCCATAAACTGTGTGTCAACCCAGAGACTGTTTTTTTCCCCTTATGGGGTAGATCTCTCGAAATGCAAGAGCATTTATTTAGTTTCAATGGTGGAGGGGACACAAATGAAGAGTAGGGTCTCAGGGTCCTTCCCCAGAAAATTCTTGTACTCTATGAAGATTCATCTCTAGTTTTTCTGTACTCTGAAAAAAAGATAATTTCTTGTCTTAATTGCCTTTAAAATATTGTTGTTCAGTTCTAGTCTTAATTTGCACCATCTTTTCAGGAGCAAAGCTCCAAACAACCTCTAAAAAACAATGGTTTAGAAATTTCTCATGCTTTATACATATCTCTAAGATTCAATACCTTAGACCAATCTACTTTGGATAAACTAAGGGTAAAATGGTTATTATAATTTTTTAGAGAACTGACTTTCATATAATTGAACACTGTTTTCTGAGCTTTCCTGGTACAAAAAAAAAGTCCATATTTTAAAAAGGTCAATAGACTGTGGTGTGTTCCTTTATCAACTGATACAAATCAAAGAGACAGAAATTTTTAAAAGATTTAAAAACAGGCATATTCTTTTTTTTTTTTATATATATATCTGTATTAAGGTCACCAATCATAATTACCTCCGATACTTCCTGACACACACACACACACACACACACACACACACACCCACCACCTACCCCTCAGCGTCTTTAATGGAGCTATCAAACCAAGTTTCAAGGAAGCACATCACTCTCACCTTATATTTTTTTGCAAGCAGACATCTGATGTTGATGGAGAATGTCCAGTCCTATTTTAAAGAACAATTTGTCCATTTGTACGATTTCTATATCGTTTTGTGACATCATGCGGACCATCGCCGTATATTTATGGCTTGCCCACCACGGTCTTTGTCATTCCCTCACAGTCTGTGGTCTGTAGTGAGCCAGCCATCGGGTTCTCATGTCCTGGATTTACACTGATGACTCCACCGATGGTCTCCGACAGACAGCAGTCATTCCTCCTCGGATGGATGGATGTTAGTTATAATTAAATCCTCACCTTTAGTTGAACATATTCCGATCTTGACGTTTTCTTTTGAAATGTACAGGGAGGGGTAACAGAACGAGTTAAGTAAGGCATTCTTTCCAAATCCAAGTGTTTTTTCGTAGGAGTGATGTTTCATTACAGATTTACGACCACTACTCTTCTATAAGTGTGAGCAGTTTGGGATGTGTTTTTAAGCATTAAACAATACACTGAGCGTGCCACCAACGTGCCAAACTTTCCTGCCGCCATGATGCTGCTCCTCCTCCTTATTACCATTATTGATATGTACATGTCGGAGGTGGATGTGATATTCAGGTGCACATACAAGCATACATGTACACAGTGTGATGAGTGCAAAGAATGCTAGAATAAATAAGTATTATGTGTGGTGTTATGTACATGCGGTGGATTTGGTATGCAGTATAAACAATATAAAATATTTGAAATAAGTGTTAACAGCTCTGAAAGAGAGAATGATGAATAAATAACCAGTAAACAGGTGCTGATTAGAGGCAGAGTTACTGGGTTATTGCACAGGAAATGTTCCTGCCACTGTGAGTCAGAGTCAGCTGTTCATCAGAGTGATGGCTTGTGGGAAGAAACTGTCCCCGAGTCTGTTGGTTTTGGCGTACAGTGCTCTGTAGAGCCTACCAGAGGGGAGGAGCTGGAACAGGTCGTGTCCGGGGTGAGATGGATCTGCGGTGATGTTTCCTGCCAGTTTCCTGACTCTGGAAATGTAGAAGTCCCGACTGTCCATTGTAGTCTGCTCCTGTCCATTGACAGACAGACAATCTAAGGGGCCAGCTCAGTTGTAGGAAATTGAGTTTCATACCTGTGTTAAACACAGGGGGCCATCGTCCCTTATAATGACTCACCCGTACGCACCTCTATTTTTTGGGTAAAGAAAATCCATGAGGAGACTTAACCTACAGAGTGGCATTTTGTTCAGGACCTTCAGGTGGTCAACATGGCCTAGTTTCTACATAATGAATGAAAAAAAAAGATCATCTTGGGGGAAAAATTCTCACAAGTACTTAACTGAAAAAATGCCTTTTCAGAAAGGTCAAAAAAGGGGTTTTAAATGAAAACAAACCAATAAATAAATGTGGGAGCCCGAAGACAGCAGGTTACTGTGGGGCAGGAATTATTTGATCCAGTGCCACCAGGCCTGCCTCGCTTTAGGCACTAATGACTCCATATCCACATATCCACACACAGCTAAAGAGTCTCAAGAGGTCGTAAAGGACCGAGCTCCAGGCTGACTTTGTCTGTGAAACTGAGATCTGCACCACATGGAGGAGAGTTCGCAAGGGTGGGCAGGTATGTCCCTCTTCTTAAGCCTTCCAGGATGGGCGTTGTCACACCCAGCTTGGCCCAGAGGGAATCACCCAGCTGTACTCCATCACTGCTGAGGAGTCAGTCCCCACAACCGTGCAACAGGTGCTCTGAATGATCCTCTAATCAAGAACCAGGGGAATGTTGCGAGCAGCAAATACAGACGGACTGCTACAGCATGATAACACTGCATCCTGAATGTCTTGACAACAAATTATCTGTACCATAGAAAAATGGGAAACAATCATCATAAACAATTGTAACCTAACCACACCTGATAAAGACCTGTCAGTCTTGTGCTCACAGCTCGGAACCTGCTGAGTTCTGGATCCAGGATGTTGATGTACCAGGTCACTGTAACGATGTGATCACAACAGTCTCTGGTTTCCGTTGCTGGTCAACATGAATCCCATTTTGTCCAGACCGGCTCTTTAGGAGCAGAATTAAGTCCAAGCTGGACCAGAAAGACTCCTATTCTGGCGCCTGTTGTTTGGGACAGGTGGATCGTGGTCCGCTGCTCTTTAAACCAAAAAACCCGTATTCATCTTCCAATGACTGTATTCATGTCAGAGGTAGCTCGTGTTTTGGCAATAAAGCCGGAAAAACAGAAAGTGTAGCGAAGTTTGAAGGAGGTGCTGGCTGCTGCCTCTTCAAGTTCTGCTGGTGTTATTCAGGCTTTTGAAACTTAAACTTTGTTGCAATATCGCAAACATCTGGGGCAAATAGTGGACTGCTGTGTGTGTGAGAGAGAGAAAGTGTTGGACCACGTAATGAGCAAAGTCTCTCTCGTTAGGTTTATTTTAATCACTTCCAGTAACGTTGGTTATACTACAAACCCCCACAAAGCTCAGATTATAACTGTAATCCAGCTCCCACAGTTTTTCATATTAAATTCAGCTGATGGTAAAATTCCATAGTACATATTACTCTTCAAAGGGAAATTATGAATGAGAAGTGTGTGGTTTGTTTTTTTGGAAAGACTGGAAGAGAGGCTGCCACACTGCTCATAATATTCAGCCTCACCTAAGAAGTCAACTGGAAATCCTCCAACAGTGCCCCCCCTGCGGCTCTACCACCTTCCTATCAAAAGTTATTCAGGTTGCTCAGCTGAGCGATGCTAGCTCCCCATTCCTGCCTGCTTCCTAACCCCAGCCACTCGGGGACCAATGTGACCAAGGTGCCCCGAGTGATGATAGTCAGTGAAGCCTTGTAACCGCAAGGTGTAGGCTTCAAGCTTCAAGCACCACGGTCTGGTAGAAGCGCTGCCTCCCTTGCAGCTGTAAGGTTCCAAGTTCAAGTCCAACTCTGTCTGCTGCGTCCAGTCCAGAAGATCCAGTATTCCTGTCCCTGGCCTCCCAGGGAGCAGCCAGTTCCTATGAAAATCCTACTTGGATCCAATGGGCTGGATAGCACATCAGATCAAATGGAAATCCTCCCCCGAGTCCAACGGTGCCACCCCCACAGTTCTGTGTCCTTGCTATCAAGAGTTACTCCAAAATGGCCCATCTCAAGGGGGTTTCCTAAGCCTAAAATCCAGAGACAAAGACCGGAATCAATCACTACAAAGCTGAACTGGACTGAAGCAGCACCCACACTGTGACCCTGATCGGCCTTTAATTTACACATACATACATACATCAGTGTGCTGTTTGTCATACTAATGTTGACATGATTGAGAATGGAACAGATGTTAAAACGGTCATTTTTAAAGCTCCTCTGTAGGATTCTTCACCATAGCAATGACAGGACTTGTACTTGTCGTGGAGTAACCGTTAAATAGTACAGCAG